ACAATAGAGCACATATTAGGAATGAGAATAAATATTAAATATTAGAAATCAGAATTAGAAATAATAATTAAACGTAACACACAATGGGGAAAAGTATATAAAATGTAAGATATAAATATAGGAATATTTCTATATATACATTTACGTATCTTAATATTGTGTCGGTACCAATTTTTCTTTTGCAGGAAATTATGAAACACACAACTTCTTACTTTAACAAATATACCAAATCGGAAAAGTATTATTTTTTTATAAATATTGAAATAAAATGCAAGATCCGTATTTAACTGGAAGTTTTAAAGTTGAAAAATTTTAATGAAGGTTTCTCTGCATAAAGGCAATTCGTATGACAGCGACATTTCCGGAGAAAATCGTAGCCATTCCGGTAACATATTTTAAGCCGATTTCAGAGGATCGCAACATTTACGAATGCGCCACCCCGACAACCCGTACACCTCGCCATTCCTCCGCGCTTCTCAGCTGCTTTCGCCTCCGCTCGCAGTTCGCGCACAATTTGAGTTTGAACACGCTTGAGTTTTGTTGTCTGTCTCATTTAAGCATGTTTACGACTCCATTATTTTCCGCCGCTTTCGAGTAGGCTACATTTCTTTTTCACGTTTCTCACGTCGCGCATCGGATGAAAATGGGGAGAAATGTGTCATTGCGAGTATTTCCCGTTGCGATACATTATTAAGTTACGTGGGAATTTTTCATATTTATTTTTACCGATGTAACGCAATTGAAATGCATGTTTTTAATACGGATAAATTATATTTACGCACATTTTTTAACTAAATAAACGGAAGTAGTATTTTTCCCTTTCCTTTTTAGAATTAAGACTCTTAAAGTTTCTTTAATAAAACCTTTGTGACTTAATACATATAATCAAATTAGTGATTAAATTTTCATAATCTCAATTTTACTAAAGTGATGATCTAAATTTTACTAGAGAGGATAAGTTAATTTTATAAAATACTATAATAAACCCAAAATCATAAGACCATCGCAATCAATTTAAATTATAATTAGAAAATTAGAATATAAGACAAAAATTCTATACAGGTAGCCTAATAAGACTTTAATTTGCAGAATTATTGGCCATTAGTATCGTTATACATGAAAGAGCAATCGCGCTCGCCCTATAGTTAAAACCGCAATGTTATGCTTCTGAAATTCTAACAACGATATATTACTAGGAACTCAAATCCGCAATGCATTGCAAGAGCGTCTCATTCCAAGTATATTAATTTATGCGTTTAATATGTTATATATGTTCAAATAATGCTCGCAATAATAGTATTCAGTTTCGACCTTAATTCAATTTTAGTATTATTATATACGGAACTATTGTCGATTTCTTGAGATAATAATAATATACATACATATATGTATAATTATTATAATAATTATAGCTTGCCATCATAAATTCATGAAGATTTTCAAGTTAGAAGCAAGCAGGATCGTTTAAAATTTTCTTGTTTCTTTCATTGTTCTATTAATCAAGACGTAACTGTATGTGTGTGTTTTTTTTTTGTGCGGGACATTTTTTACATGAAACCTCTCGTCCCGAAATTGTTTACCACTTTGTTATTAATTTGCCACCTATATATACACCCGTGCTTACCGGGAATTATTATTTTACTACCGGCATAAAGATTAGGCGAAATTATCCGAGATGATTTAGGACGCGATCGCGAGATCTCTTCCATCTCTTGCGCGCCGAGCTCTCCCGCGTGTATAGCTGCGAGTGGATAGAGATATTCCGTGTTTAATCTTGTTTTAATCCTTGGCTTCCCGATGAATGTACAGTTGGGATTAATGCTCGTGAAAATATCGCCGCGATTACACTTATATTGTGGCGGGCTCGTAAACAGAAGTATGGCGCTCGATATAGCTCCGCGGCTCTGAGAATATTGAATACAAAGAGAGAAATTACGTGTATAGCTATATATACCGTATACCGTTTTGCAAGAAAAACGATAAACGAGAAGTCACCGATAAACCGAGAGATAATCGTTCGACAAAAAGTAAAGGCAATTTAGAAAAATTGACGAGAAGGAACGAAACGGTGAAATAGAGCGAACTTCAGATTTGAATTTATGATATAGGTCAGACGTCGCGCGTAGGTTCGTCGATATGGTGGGAAGGAAAGAATGTGGAAAGATACGAGAAATTTCTCTCTCTCTTTCTCTCTCTATCTCTCTCTCTTTCTCTGTCCGTGCGAGATATCCGCATGCGAAAACACACAGGAAGGATGCAAAAACTCGTACATCACGTGTTATCGCTTCTTTTAGGAGCCCGACCGGACGCAAATCAAAGCCGTTCGATTTATACTCCACAGTGAGTATTCAGCTCGGTTACAATGGATTTATATCCTTTAGCTATGTACACTTTTTTTTCATCCGCCTATACGAAGGCGATGTTTGATTATGCAATTGTTTCACTTTACGCCGGTTTGCAAAGCTATATAACTAGGAAAACAAATTTAATACTCCGTAATTCAATAAATTATTCTTCTTTAAATTCTTTGAATATATTCTCTTTCAGGTGTTTACACTCGCGCATGCAAACATACGTGGTGTATATAATAGAATATATCATACATATTGCATGAATAGAGAAGTTTGAGATTTGAGGTTTAGAAAATGAAAAATTGAAGCACTCCGACCGGAATATCTAAAGTGCGAAATTGTCTTAATTCAATATCTGTCTTTATTCCGAACAAAAGACGTTCATTTTTGCTTGCCGATAATTTCTCATGGGCGTTTCTCCTTATTATCTCTAACGGAATCGTCGACGATGCAAATCGAGGAAACGTTCCCGCTCGGGGAGACGGGGAAGGATCGAGGAAAGGACGAAGTGACGCGCCGCCGCGCCGTTCCTTCCCGCTTGATAACTCTTCTCTCGACTCGTTCGCGCCTTCCGAACTTTTCCGACCTATTCGATCGACCTTTTCCCTTCTCCCATGGCGTTTGGTATTCGCTCTCGGCCGTTTAATATTTCTCTCTTTTCGCCTGATTCCACATTGGTACCCTCGTCGTAGATTGCGCGAGACGTCTCTCTCTCTCTCTCTTTCTCTTCCTTCTCCGCTCTTTTCGCTCGATTTCACGGTTGCCGCGACACGGAAGAAAATCGGCGTCGCAGCGCACACACCGATAAGACGCCAACGACGATTGTGATGTCTGCGGAGCATTGAAACGGATTCGAGAAAGAAAAAGGAACGGGGAACATGAATCTCCGATTCCAAGATTCTGGGACATTGAATTCTTTTAAACTTCCAGTGTTTTGCATTTTTAGACCCTTTAACGTTCTCGGAATTGTTGATCCTTATGATTTTACGATCCTTGAATTTCCGAGTGTCAAAACTTTCGAAGACCGTATAGCTTTATTTCACCGTATAGCTGGTTAATGTCCATTAGTATTTATTATCTGTAACGTTTCTTTGCTTTTTTTAGTCGCTTAAATATCAAGATGCTAAAAACAATTGCTTCGTGCATAACATTTGCGTTTTCCATATAAAATACGCTTGAACTACGTCGCCAACGTTCAACGGTCGCCACGTAGAGAGTTTTTTAATCTGCCGGGATAAACTTTCCGATCGGATGTCGTACGTCGGCTGAAAGCGACTTCGTCAGAACTTCCGGTCCCTCTCCTTGTACGTGGGGGATGTATCTCCTTATGCCGCTACTTACGCCAACTTTTCCGGAGGTTTAAGGAGGCCGAGGACGAAGTTTGATCCTTCCTTCACCAAGAGAAAGAGGCAGGAAGTCGCTTAAGATTAATGTGCTCTTCTTAGGTTGCTCTTCTACGACTTCAACGCGATTGCGATCCTAACAAGAGGCAAACTGGCAAGTTTTGATTTCAATGAAACTTGGAAAATATGTAGAGTAGGTAGTTTGTTAGTAAAGAAAACTCGTGCCAAGCTGTTACGATATATCGAAAGATATTTTAATATATTATTTGTAATATTACAAAATACTTTTTGTGTTATAATGTATATACATAAAACCGCGCAGGATCTCGCGTTTTACTTCTTTTATTATTAGCGCAATATACATATATTATGAATGACGAAAATAACTTTAATCATAGATTTCTTCCCTTTATTTTCTTTTTCATTGACGAGTGCCATTATCTAGAGCGGAAGAATATCGTACTTTTTTTCATACACGTCACGAGCAAGATAAACGTCAATTGTACAATAACGTAATTGTAGCCGATGTCTCGTTCCACTTGACATCATGCTGCAGTTATATAGAAAGAGTTCGACTACGTCGTCTTTTCTACGATATTGATTTCTCTCAGTCTTTAATTTTTCTTTTTAGTTCATTGAAGTATCTTCATAATCAATTAGCAATTCTTTACGCATATTTGATAACCCGGGAAAAATTATACATATATATAAAATATATCCATATATGTTTTCTTTTTTTTGTATAATTTTCTGTTCGTATATACCTATACAGAAAAATAATAACAAGAAGAAGATTAAAATAATTTTTGCATTGTTTTTTTTTAATAAAAAAATTGAAGTTGAAATGAGAAAATGAGAAAAAATTGCCCATATAAATGTAACAATTGTATATAAATATGATTATATATAAAATGTCGTATAATGTAATTGCAATTTTACTTTTTGTAAAAAATATAAAACTTATTTTCCTGATTATTTTTTAATTATTTTTCTTATTATTTCTCTTATACTGTGCTTAACTTAAACTCTTCCAAGTTCTAAAATCTTGGATCGAGCTTTAATTGCTGAACTTTCAAATCTTAAATCTTGAATTATTTAAATACATTTTTTTATAACTATAAAATTTACAGCATGTTTATTTTCTTAGAACTTATAATATTTACTTTTCCTCGTCAATTATTATCGCAAATTGAATGATGATATATTATATTATGATATTATATTGTTGATGTTATAATATAAATTGATTGTGTGATAAGAATTGTTGATACTATAAATGACATAAATGTGTTGCATGTGCTTGCAGAATGGACGAGCCAGTAGTGAGAGCAGCGAGGACGGGGCCGGAAGTAGTGCGAGCACTTCGCGAGGAGCCGGGAGTGGATTCGGTCTTGCCGCTGGATGCACCGGCGGATGGCGCAGTGTCTTTGGTGCAGTTTCAGGCCGGGAACTTAGATTGTATGAGTGCGCGCCTTGGAGCCCAGAAGCGTGGGCTTCGCCGAGCATTACCTGCCCCCTCATCGCGACACGGTAAGTCTTCTGCAGTATTTACAATTTTAAACGAACATTTACTTTTCAAATTTTCTTAATAAACGACGAGAGAACTCGAGCAAATACTTTTTCTCATGTTTCCTATATTTAAGAATAAAACGAACTAAGTCATCGTATATCGTATATTACATACACAATCGATGAAGATTATTACGATAATTTAACTAAAGATGTGCGACTCAAGGATTTTTGATGTTGAATCAAATCGAATCGAAGCGAATCGAATGATTTTGAATCGAATCGTTGGAATATAATTTTCAATTAACAATATAATTATTATTAGGTTGAATTTTAACACGTGGATAATAGGAGAATATTTTAATATGAAAAAATAATATTAATTATATGATAATACCGTACTTTTGCCGTATTAACCGCAAATCTAATTTTATAAATATGACAATATACATATGTGTATGATTTGCATTCGATTCGTCTAATTGAAATTGTCGAATAGTTCGCACATTTCTAAATTTAACTGAAAGCACGATCCCATATCGATAAATAAATAATAACGTTTATTGTAAAACTCACAATGTGTTAGTCTTGGTCTTATTTAGAATATCTTAATATTCACCTCGATATTTGGTATGTCTTTGTTCCCGTATCGGTGCTCGTTCACTTACGAACCGAAGTCGCGTATAATAATCCGCCATCGGCGTCATTAACACGACGATTCACGTATCGCGCGCCCGTTCCCCCGTATCGACTACGGACTACGGGTCGAGAAAGCGGGAACGTGCTTACGAGCGAAACGAGCCACGTATCGCGTCGTCAACGAGCACTACGACCGGGCGTCACGTTGTAGCACGTACGTCTCGTCGATTTCACGTCGGCGTGGCATGGCGTGAGACTGCTGCCGTCGTACAGGTTATTGGGAAATTAAGCGTAAAAAATTCACCAGCATCGCGTGCAAGAAAGTAGCTCCGCATGACGAGCCACCATCTCCCGATGGAGCGCACGATGCAACAACTATAAATGCAGAGCTTCCAACATTTTGTCATACCTAGACTCTAGACCGAGAATTCTGTCCGCGAAGTGAAGCCGGAAATTGACACGAGAGAAATAGGTCTGCTGCCTCAGTAGTTTTCTTACTTTATCTCACAGCAAAAAGACTGTCGCTTCATTTTCTGTCAATTGTACTTTTAATATATCAGGCGTAAAGTACATCAGGAAAGTTAATTATTTATCTATAATTTTTTATTTAATTGGCCAAGTATACAAGTGATTTAAAAGGCTAAATGAGCAGCTAGTGCGCAATTTGTTTTTTATTAACCAAAGGCAAATTGTATGGCTGAAGATGATAATTAACACGGACAAAGCGTTCCGGGAGTTTATTTTAATAAAAGGTTTGGCTGCGCAAAATCGGTGTTTTGGGTCGCATTTGCCGTGCTTATTCACGTGGCTATTAATATTTTATAATAAATGAGGGATTTATCTCTCATCTGGATATCTGATGGATTTTTCTTCTTTAATCAAAACTTTATTTGGAAATTTTTTCTTAACGTACATGAATATATTGGAAGTTTTTCGAGCTACACAAACATAAAAATTTAAAATTTAAAATTTCTTTGTAATAACATTTAGTATTAAATATCTGAAAAATATAACATCCAATCCTATTTTTGTTAAATAGAATTTTACTACAAATAAACAGAGGAAATTTATATAAAATTTCGTAATAATAGTATAATTGATAATTTTTTGTTTATCATTTTAATTAATTTGGACGTGTTTTATATATAATCTGCACATTCGCCAGAAAGATGAAAATCGAGATATAGGTATAGGACACATCTACTCTAACACACACGCTCTATCCCCTCGCATTCGTATGCGGTGGTACAGTCGGAGGATTATCAATGAGGCACGTCGGATTACAGCAGTTAGCGATGTTCGTTAGACCGCTATTTTAATTAAGACTATTATACATCCGGCCGACTGTTCGCGTGATGTCATTGTGATGCTCGTTACGTGCGCGGCTCGCGAAATCATTTTCGCGTGTGTCTCTCTGTGTCTCTGACGATTTCGTTTTGTAATGTGCCGATGCGCGACATTATACCGATACTAATCACGAATGTGTCGTTTAACTGCGTGCGTAAACGTGATCCGAGCTTTCAACGGGCAACATCTAATTATTCGCCGCGTTGGCCCGAGTCGCCCTGAATGGGCGTTGAAAGGATCTAGTGGCGGATGGATCAGTGAAACTATATCACCCGTCAGCTTTATATATGCCGATTATACGTATGCATCTAGGTAATGTACACGTGATCGAAAGTACCCTCGAATATACGGATAGCATGCCACTGAAGATATCGTGGGCGCATCTTTGCGAAATTGCGTATAAAAAGGTAGCGATGCTGGATGTATCGCCGAAGTGTTCGAAATTGGAAGAATTGGATGGTACTTCGGAATGACGGCGTAATCGAGACGGCGTAATCGAACACTTCTGCCTGTGTTTTCTCCGCACCGATCGTACCCTCTTATGTGTTATTTATATCGTAAAAGTCTGGGTCAAATTTGAAAGAATTAGTTTATTGCTAATTCACGAAATTATTTTTATTTTGGATTTTTTTTTTTTAATGAGGGGAAAATCGTTGAAATTCAATTTAATCCAAAAACATTTTGAAACAGTTGTAAACAATTCCAAAGTTCAGTTTTTGTGAAACTGGTGATTGTTACGTTCTATCATATTATCTGTATATCGATAACGTTAATACAAGAATTCCATCGGAATGCGGATAATGAGATTTTGCACGGACGAGTGAATCGGTTTAAACCGATGTTTAAACAAATACACATCGATCGAAACGTTTATTAATTCCGCGTAACGTCCTTTCGCAATCATTGCGGCCATGCTACACGCACTAATCACGATTGGTTTCGGGTTTTCATGACGAATTGCCGGGATTGGTAAATAACTGAGTGAGCAAATATCTCGGCAGAGCATTTGTCAATAACGGACTGAAATTAATAGGATGGTAATACAGATTAGATCATGTGTTAGAGATATAATATATTATTGGCTTGTGACATCGTGTCGAATCAATATTTATTTTTCGTCAGATTGTCGGCAATAAAAATTATTTTATTCAGGACTTTGTTTTTATAGTAAAATACGATAGACGTTAATAAATCACGAAAGTTAAATATATATGGATATATTTTAATCCTATGAATTGAAACTAGACAGAGTCCTTATCTCTTTATTATTGTGCATAATATCAAATTAAAATCAATATACTCACACAGCATCGTGGCCTAAAGGCGATACGCATGTAAATTCAATTAAAAGCCTGTTTGTTTACCTGAACGAGCGATTCTTTCGAATCCATCAGCGATGCCGTTCTCGATGTGACAATATTACATTATCTTTAGGACGTCGTTTCCGCTATATTTTTTCCAGTGTATTTATTGCGACGACGTACCCGCGACCCATTTCCGTTCTTTTCCCATCTCGATATCGGCGATACAATCGATTACAACGTCTCGCTTTCCTCCCGGACGTTTACCCACTATCTGTCTGCTTTATTTATTTATTTGCACACTCGAACGGATTGCGATCACCGCTATATCGTTGTATTAATATAGGTTCAAACGATCGATTTATTTAGACGTTTTGTTTATTTACTGCATGCGGATGTTTAGTCAGCCAACTTTGTACCGCGACCAACGTGAGTGGTCGAGATCAGTGTCGGGTTACGTCACTGATCTCGACCACTCACGATCGATTTTAGTTACGATTGTTTTCGAGATGTTCTGAAATATCGTCTGCGTGAATATTTTCCAAAAATCTCGACACTTGAACTGGCACTACTGCAAAACTTCGCAATTAGAGAGAGAATATTTTTTTATGTTGTTTGAAAAATAATACAAAACTGAACAGTTCCGTTAATACTTGCTTTTAAGCATCATTTGACGCCACTCAAGCATCTTCGCACGTGTAACACACGTTAAACAATAAGTAATAAAAAATTTATTTCCTGGAAATAACTGTCATCAAGTATTTGCCACTTTTCTCGGAATGTTTCACGAGCCCGGATATTTCTCTGGGAAATAATGTTGCTGCTTTTCTGCAGAAAACGCTGCTTCAATTTACTGCCTCAATCGTGAATCTCATTTACGGGACTCAGCATCGCGGAAAGCGGCTTACAAAAAATTTAAAGGAGCTTTAGTTTTAAAGCTGACTTCGAGATAATTTGTGTCGCGAACTACACGCGAAAGTCCACTTTAAATCTCGACTAACTTGAAATTCTTTGAGCAAAATCGTTCCCGCGTCGCCGTTCAGGAATAATCTCTTGCTTCTTTAAACCGTCCGTCGCCGTGTTGCGATAGAATAATTAATCGTATGGAATAATTAATGGATTTTGGCTAATGGTTTTCCATTCCACTGAATTTATGTACTCCAAAATAATAATTATGAAAGATAATAACTTGATTTTGGTGAACAATTCTCATAATGTCGGTTAGGTACATTTTGTTTCAGGACTAAAGATAAGAGAGTGCAATAAAAAATAAAGCAGAATTGTTTAATTAGCGTGTGTGTGTGATTTATATTAATAATATTATAATAATTTAATAAAAAATTAATTATAAGTGAAACTTTGACCGATTCTCGCCAATTTTGTTGGTCTTGAAGTACAGTTATTCGCTTGGAATAGTAAATTCAACATACTTAAATCGATAATCGATTTAATTTTTTGATGTTAATAAGCATCCTTTTAATTTAAGTGAAAAAAAGTATAAAAATTTACAAATATTATTAGGCTACAACAAATCAGCCCGACCGAAGATAGCATATAGATATTTCAATTCACTTAAAAGAATTACTGTTGAGATACGAACGGATATATAATCCGAGAATAAGAAGCATCAACCGACACCGTTTACCTTCGCTAACTTTTATGTATGTGCAATTTATTTCATTTTTGTCCCGTTATTTGAAGAGAAATATTATCACGAGTGGTACTTTGATGTTG